GGGATCGAACCCGGGTCGATCGCGTCAAAAAGCCAACAGCAGGCACTTATCCATCTGCACCACTGGAGCTAATCCACTTTTACCACTTTTAACTAAATGTAAATAGACACCCCGTATTTTTTATTCCAGAGTAAGGGCAATTCATTTAAACTGTGTTCTTCGGCTGGTTCTTGCCTGTGTACGTTGATTGACAGATGTCTCGTCCAGTCAGCGGTGAGTAATCCCAAACCAATGGCGCTGTCTCAAACTATACCTACCTTTTCCGGTTTGTCTGATTTGTCGTTGTGTTTTCTGACTTGTTATTTTGTTTTCGAATTTGTCATTGTGTTTTCTGACTTGTTATAATGTTTTCTGAATTGTTGCTGTGCTTTCTGAATTTTTATTTTGTTTTTTAGACTTGCATTTACGTTTGTAATTTGTTATTTTGATTTCAGAATTGTGATTTGTTTAGCACTTCTCGGCCACCGTAGTTTCTTCATCAGAACGATTTGGATAAATGTAGTATTACATCACTTGCTTATTAATGGATAATCTGCAGTGAATGGGTGCCGTCAGAATGAGAGTCCAAACAGCTGATAAAAATAACACAATAATCCACAATCCACATGACTACAGTCCATCATTTAATGTCTAGTGAAGTGAAAAGCTGTGTTTGTAAGAAACAAATCTATCTTTAAGACGATTTTAATTTTACACCGTCCATAATAACGCTTCTTCCAGTAAAATTCGATCTCCTGTTGTCCTCTCACATCAAAATCCACCAACATATTTACTTTGAACTATTTTGGTCTGTTTTCACTTGTAAACAGTGCATGCATAATCTGTACATATTTCTCTCCTGATTCAGACAAGATGACTTTTTTTTACAGGAGAAAGCAAAATTATGAATAGAGGACTCTATTTTTAGTGTATTTTTGTTGGAAGCCACAGTTTGAAGTTAAAAAAAAAAACATCTCAATGGTGGAACTGTTTCTTACAAACACAGCTTTAATTGATGGACTGGAGTGGTGTGGATTTTTGTGATGTTTTTATCAGCAGTTTGGACACTCATTTTGACGGCACCCATTCACTGCAGAGGATCCATTGGTGATCAAGTGATGAAATTCTACATTTCTCCAAATGTGTTCTGATGAAGAAACAAACTGATCAAGAAAGGCCTGAGGGTGAGTAAATTGTGAGAAATTTTTCATTTTTGGTGAACTATTCCTTTAAGAGAAGAGTTTTAGCAAGTTGTTGTTAAAAACACTTAATAAAAACCTTACCTAGACACGAAGATCAATCCAGAGGATGTTGCTTCACCCACAGGATATGAGCATTCAACTCCGAGCTCCATTGCGATGGGATATACAGAGTACCCAAAAAATCCAAACCACGCACGTACTGCACCAATGATGACCTTCTGCTCGCTTAACTGGGAAACCTGACGGACAGCAGGATGACATCTCAGGTCAAACACACATTAACAACGCTGAAATCATTACTCTACTCACCACAGCAAAAACAGAGCAGCCCAGGGATGTCAGACACATGTTTATCTTAGTGACTTCTTTAAACTTCTTGGTCTTATCCACGTACAGGCCGAGGAGAAAAGCACCCAGAACACCGAATACAATAGCAACTGCACCACACAGTCCTGCAAAGTCCTGCCACATTAAACATGTAGAGACAAAGTTATATTCACTCGACAAAGCTAACACTACTAATACTGTACAGATTTGGCAGGCAATTGAAAGTGATGTTTATATAAACCTCCTATCTATCATCTATCTATCAAGCTTTCTTAGGTAGTGCAGTATTTAATGCTATGTTTTTTAAATGTATAAGTCAAGGCTTTGTCAATCCATCATTTAAAGTTAGCAATCTTTGTTTTTCGAGTTAGTTGAGTTGAGCTAGTTATTTAACATATTATGGCACAGGTTGGTTTTATGGTTTGAGGTAAATGTGGGTAAATTCTTTTTGGGTTCTTACATTTGAGTAGCCCTTAACACAAAGTATCTGCTCCAGCAAGGTGGAAAAGCAAGTGAATACCCCTATTCCTGAACCAAAACACACCAGCAGGACCATGTATGCTTTGTTTGTCAGTAGCTGTAAATAAAAGAGTGACAAAATGCAGTGAATCTCAGACAGCAGTACAAAATGACAAGAGCCACCTGTAGTCAGATGCTATATTTCATAAATTCTCGAAAAATGCACTCATGCAATAAGTTTGTTTAAAATGGTGTAGTACCAGTTTCACCCCCTGTAGAAAAGGTTCAGAGCTGGAGGTCACCATGCTGGCAGAGGGGGGTGTCAGGGGGACGCGTTCACGGATCCCCACTGTTGCTAGGAAACAGGCTACGATGGCAGGTATAGCATATATCAACAGCTACAAGTCAGACAGAGAGAAAGCGGGACTATAGGGATGTACATAATACAAGAAATACAATTCTTCTGTCACCAAGTTCTTACCAGCATGAAAAGAGTACTGGTGTAACTAATTATCATCGGAGAGAAGATATTCGCTAAGAGTAGCCCAACAGTATTTGCTGGAAAACAAAAGAGAAGAATATTACCATTCTACAGTAAGTTAGGCTAAAGGCATTTAAATACCATATAAGATATGAGCTGTAAAAAAGGTTACCCATGGAAGCCATCATGTTAGCTGTTTCAGAAGATAGGAGGAAAGAAAAGTATATAAGTGTGTTTCTTTTGACTGTCATTGTTTCCTGTAGACTGTCATTTTTCGTAAATGTCATGAATATATTTACCACAGTGCCTTTTAAAAAAAAAAAACATCCCAAATTATGTATTGTGTTTGATAACTTTCTGTGGTGAAAGTGACATTTTAAACATTTAATAAAAATAATAAATGTGTTAAGTAAATAAATAAACGAGGAGGATAAAATGGATCACTTTTATAGCGAGCATTTTAAATAACACAATTTACACAATATATGTATATATAAAGTGTTGCATTTTTTGGCAAAATAGTTTGATTGCAAATGACAAGTACGTTAACTTTTAATTCAAATTTATAACTAGTCGCAAAATTGTTGGTCGCGGTGAAAATCGGTTTGCGCACCGGAAATGAAGTGCACGCTCGTTGCGGCTTGGTTAATATTAATGATGTAATATAGCCCAATATATAGCCTATAATATAACATTTTATCTCCTATTATTTTCCCACTTGGTTTATGTGTGTTTCGTCATCTTTTATAGTTCGTTTACGTTACTGAAAACCAAATGAACTGAAGTGAGATACCCACTAGGTGGCAGCCTACAACAAGTAAATCTAATTACCGTAAAAACAAAATGTTACAAACGAAAGTTTTTGCACGTCAAGAACAAAGTGGAGTCTGTGAGTTTGCAGGTTGGTAGGCCTACAGATGATTTGGGACAAACACATTGTAATTTAACTGAAGAATATATGATTAGTTACTTCAGTGAATATTATTTGACCTTAAGTCAATAGAAACCTTTACCTTTTATATAGGCCTATATGTAATATGGCATGCTGTCACACCTAACCATACTTTCTGCCAAAATAACACATTTACTAAAATTATATTTACAATAAAACTGTGATATAAGTCATCACTGCCAAAAAAGATGCATTACTGATTAATGATGTTTTTTTTTTACAGAGGGAAAAATAACTTAATGGTATTTGGCAAAAACTATAGTTATTATTCCTTTTTTAAATTTATTTTCGTAACAGCTGGTAAACAATATTCAACTAGATTTGAGAGTATGTTTGTGTATACCGAGAAGCGCAGTCCCAGTGTGTCCAGCACCCATGTTGTGATCAGACTGAAGAAGATAGCAACCACTACATAGACTAGCGACAGCCAGTTGACCAGATTTAGAGAGATTTGCAGATATTGTGCTGTCTGGTCGGCCACAGGAGCAAAAGTCAGCCATGACTGTAGAGAAATTGAACACATGAAAATGAAGTTGTAGCTTCAATGTGTACGTTATTACGATATCTATTCAAAAATACAACTATATACATATGTATATATGCCATTTATTAAATATATGAAGTTGCTCTATGACATAGTCAAAGTCTCAGTTCAACATTTTTTTTGAACTCAGTTCAAAAAACAGAAACCACAGGTCAGAAGGGCCCCTCACATGAGCTAAATATGACAAACACAGAGTGACGTGCAAGTGTATAAGCAGCAAGTTGTACTGAGAAATTATACTTGAATTTAAACTATCGGTACAATTATACAAGTCAAGCCACATTGTAAATAAAATTTGAGTAAATATATGATTTTATTTTCCTCCAGAACGTAATTGAGTAAAAATACAAGTTAATTTCAGTGGTACTAGAGTAAACACTTAGAAATGAAGAACAGCTATACCCCTTCTGATCATTATTCACAGTGCAGTGGCCAATTGCAGTGTTGTACACAATAGCATTTACTTGTTAGCTATCAAGAATATTATATGTATGCAGCAGCGTGACAGATGGCAGTCAGCTGATCCCAAAACACAATACAGTCGTTTTATGCACCACTGCACAACTTACTGGGACGCTGTTTCACATTAATTCAAATTCATAGATGTTGTTTTGCAGTCAGTGTGGAAATCTTTTGTGCACTTTGTGTAACATAAGATGCTTTCCTAAAATGAACTGTCATTGATGATTGTAAAAATTATTTTTGTACTTAAAAATTCTTAACACATGCCTGCGACTACAATCCAGAATCAGATATACAGGTTTAGGCCGTCATCATATTTCCTCAAGATTGTAATCTTTAAATAAGCTCTGAATTACACCATCTGCTAAGCTTTAACACAGTGTGCCAAGACACGATGTAGATTTCTCGTATTTCAGATGAACAGCTTTGGACGTCTTGGCCTTGTAACACATATACAATGGTGTCAGTGCAAATGACAGGTCCCACGGGAGCCACGGGTGCATAATTAAGATTGACAAGCCCCTTTCTGGCACACGCCCTCTTCAGATATAATAGCCTCGGGGGGACGTATCCATGTCCTACTACAGCTGGGCTATTAGGAAGACCCTGTTATGACCCTGTAGACTGAAGCCCCTAGTGGACTGATCACTATGGAAAGTGTGAACATAAAAATCAGTTCAACTCTGGATAAATTGGGGGACTTGAGCAGCAACAGACATAATAAATTAGTAGAGATGTTTTAATTTACAACATGATATGCTGATTAATGATTAAATGAATCGCAAATATCCTTTTTCATATATCCATATCAATGAGCTTGTCCCTGGCCTACAAAAAGCTTGTTTCTTTTTGTAAAATGACAATATGCTTTGGTTTACATCAGTGTTTCTCAACCCTGGTCCTGGGCGTCCCCCAACACTGCTCATTTTGTATGTCTCCCTTATCTGACACACCCATTTCAGGTCCTGGAGTTTCTTCTAATGAGGTAATGAGTTGAATCAGGTGTGTTTGATTAGGGAGACACACAAAATGTGCAGGGTTGGGGGGCGCCCAGGACCAGGGTTGAGAAACACTGGTTTACATCATAGCTGTGAAACATGATTTGCTAATTACTATTACAAGTCAAAAGCACGTGATTCTTATAGTTTCAGTGGAAACATTTTATTGGACAAAAATGTGAATATGCAAGAAGAGGACTGAAAATTGCGTATAGCCTAGATAGCCTATTTATTAAAACATAATTGTGTCAACTTGATATTAGTTGAAAGCTAACAGACATGCACTTAAAGGGATAGGCTAGTTCACCGTCAGTTGCTGGCCCCCATTGACTTCCATATTATGGAGAAAAATAAAAACCACTATGCAAGTCAATGGTGACCAACTAAAGGAGAACTATCCCTTTAAGTGTATAAAACGTAAATCTTAATTTCGTTGAATGTTTAAAGTAAACATAACCCAGACTGGAGCGCTTGGGAAGAGGGATTCATGACATGATTACTTAGGTGGAGTAATTCAAAAGTACCTTCGGTTCTATTCAGATAGCTATATTCCCCTGGCATATTTGTACTTAATAAAAAAAATCATTCACGTAGGTTATGATTTCTCTGTAAATGAATGAGTAGCCTATGCCAATAACATCCTACCATTGCGTTAGAACAGTTTAGCAGGCAGAGTACAAATAGGATGAACCATCTCCTTTTGTAAACTTTGAACTTTAGCCGTGTTTCTTGAGTCCAGGTGAGACCGAACATCTTCACTCGAGCTCCCGACGAGCGGTTCAGCGTCCGCGCTTCCATCATCCATAATGACAATCCCGAACCACAACCAGATCACAGATTAAAAACTCAACCCGTCGTCAGCGGTGTATCCATTTGGGTCCAAAAACAATTCTGTCAGTAATCTACACAAATAACTTAACCAGTTTCCAAACAGCGAACAACTAAAAATCACGAGCATGGTTATTTGCTTTGTCTAGAAAGACCATTGTTTTGGTTTTGATTTCACATATATGCCGGTGAATGAGAGTTGTTAGGCGCTTCTACCTTGCAACAAATCCACAATCACATCACCACTCCCTTCAACCCGTGACTCGCTGTCATAGCGCCGGCCGGTTTCCTGAAACTCCATGCTTTATCCGTCTAAAGTTTGGCAAGTATAAGGTAAAGTACTTTAAAGGATTTCCAAAACAATCTAATTCCAAAAAATGTCAACATTACGTTCATATATCATTTTGCATATCATGCAAAGGTCAGACTATTGATCCAGGAACAATTTCAGGGTGCATCATCATCATCATCATCATCACCACCACCATCATAATTATCATCATCATAATCAAGATTGTCATCTAGTTTGCAACCAAATTTGAATTCAAGAAAATATTTGATCTTTTTTTTTTTGACTTTTTTCTTTTGATCTTTTTTAAAAATGCGGTAAATACACAGTTAAAAATAATGTTGTTTGTAATTAAAATGACATCATAACGAATTAAATATAAACCGGACAGATCATGTTCAAAATAATGACACGTGTGGTAGCCTATGATAATTCAGTGATTCCCAAGGACCTGTGAAGAGGCCAAAATCTTTTAACTTTATTAAATGTGTCATTTATTTATTATTTAGAAAAATATATTTGTGTCTCAAAAGCGTACAAATA